GGTGGCGCTGGTTGACTCGACTCCATGTTAGTGCACAAAGTAACAGCACGCTGTAGTTGTGAAGCAAAAACGCTGAATTCGGAGAAATAAACCGTGCGAGGGGAACGATAACGACGACAAAAGTCTCCCGATCGTTTACTCTTGCTGTCCCGTGAACAACAACGGCGTGGTGTTACTTGTTTGCTGTTTTCGCGATCGCGTCGCGCATGAGGATATCACCAGGTAAACTCGCCACATTTTTAAACATTTTGTTGTTCAACAGCATCAAGACTGACGCTGCAGTGGTTTGTATCATATCTATCTAATAGACTCCAATGTGTACATGTAAATGGAGAGTCCTCTTCACACACTAAGGTCAATTATGATGTTCCACAGGGTTCGGTGCTAGGACCAATTCTGTTTACATTATACATGCTTCCCCTAGGCAGTATCATTAGAAGACATAACTTAAATTTTTACAGCAATGCAGATGACACGCAGCTAGGGCTGCCACAAACGATTATTTTGATAGTCGACTAGTCACCGATTATTTTTGCGATTAGTCGACTAATCAAAGCATGCATCCATTGGACGTAAAACGTACAGCTTATTGCACCAGCAGCATCTGCTCTTATATAACTATCATTAGCTTACAGCTTTAAGTGTTTAAGGTATGTGCTAACTAAAAATAAAGGCAAGATGATAGTTTATTAAATTTTAATGAAATTTACAGATTGTTTCGGTGAAGTTTAACTCCTTGCTATCTAAACTATAACGGGACACTGGAATATATTCTCGAGCATCTCATACTTCTGATAATCAGTTGTCTGCTTGACGTTTATTCAGCTGTGTTAAAAACTATAACTTTAATCTCAGCCAAACCGATTTACTCAGGAATAAATAAAATACTAAAAAAGAGCCAAACAATAACATTTTAAAGTTATCTAAGTGACTTGTATATGTTTAACCTGAATAGCGAAAGACGGCGGTGGGTTTGAAAACGATTTGACCGGAGTCCGGGGTTCTCACCGGCTTTAGTGAGCTTTGCCCCCGGCTAGCTATCGAGCTAGTGGGTAACAGACGTCTCCGAAAACGTCGGAGCGCTTTTGAAAATATGTGGTGTCTTGATAAACTGAGCAGATATTTGAGGTTTACACAGTTACATTCTCGCCTGAAAATATGTTAAACGTTTATTTTGTGACCCAGAAAGAATAATAAGAGTAATACTAAAACTAACTAGCTGCTGCCATTGTTGGAAACTGAGCTGGGCTGCGCTTTGAATTCTGGGACAGAGCTACTTCTTCTTCGGGGTTTAACGTCAGCTGGCATCCTTGTACATGCAGTGCTGCCATCTTCTGTTTCAGTCCGTTATTACACTCTTAAATCCCACTACTCATTCCTGCGTCTTTTGTGATCTTATAAAGCTTCAAACGACGCGTCGACTATTAAATCAGTCGTCGACGATTTTGATAGTCAACGTAATCGTGACTAGTCGACTAATCGTGGCAGCCCTACACGCAGCTCTATCTGTGAAGCCAGATAACACACACCAATTAGTTAAATTGTAGGAATGTCTTAAAGACATAAAGACCTGGATGGCCGCTAACTTTCTGCTTCTTAATTCAGATATAACTGAGGTTATTGTACTTGGCCCTGAAAATCTTAGAAATATGGTATCTAACCAGATTCTTACTGTGGATGGCATTACCTTGGCCTCCAGTAACGCTGTGAGGAATCTTGGAGTCATTTTTGACCAGGACATGTCCTTCAACGCACATATTAAACAAATATCTAAGACTGCTTTCTTCCATTTGCGCAACATCTCTAAAGTTAGAAATATCCTGTCTCAGAGTGACGCTGAAAAACTAGTTCATGCATTTATTACTTCCAGGCTGGACTACTGTAATTCATTATTATCAGGATATCCTAAAAACTCCCTGAAAAGCCTTCAGCTAATCCAAAATGCTGCAGCAAGAGTCCTGACAGGGACTAGAAAGAGAGAGCATATTTCTCCTGTTTTGGCTTCCCTTCATTGGCTTCCTGTTAAATCCAGAATTGAATTCAAAATCCTGCTCCTCACATACAAGGTCTTCAATAATCAGGCCCCATCTTATCTTAATGACCTTGTAGTACCATATCACCCTATTAGAGCACTTCGCTCTCGCACTGCAGGCTTACTTGTTGTTCCTAGAGTATTTAAAAGTAGAATGGGAGGCAGAGCCTTCAGTTTTCTGGCCCCTCTTCTGTGGAACCAGCTTCCAGTTTGGATTCAGGAGACAGACACTATCTCTACTTTCAAGATTAGACTTAAAACTTTCCTTTTTGCTAAAGCATATAGTTAGGGCTTGACCAGGTGACCCTGAATCCTCCCTTAGTTATGCTGCAATAGACGTAGGCTGCCGGGGATTCCCATGATGCATTGAGTTTTTCCTTTCCAGTCACCTTTCTCACTCAGTATGTGTTAATAGACCTCTCTGCATTGAATCATATCTGTTATTAACCTCTGTCTGTCTTCCACAGTGTGTCTTTTATCCTGTTTTCCTTCTCTCACCCCAACCGGTCGCAGCAGATGGCCTCCCCTCCCTGAGCCTGGTTCTGCCGGAGGTTTCTTCCTGTTAAAAGGGAGTTTTTCCTTCCCACTGTCGCCAAAGTGCTTGCTCATAGGGGGTCATATGATTGTTGGGTTTTTCTCTGTACCTATGAAGCGCCTTGAGGCGACTTTTGTTGTGATTTGACGCTATATAAATAAAATTGAATTGAATTGTCCCATGTAAAGATATAACAAAATATTTACAAAAATTTGAGGGGTGTACTCACTTTTGTGTGTATGTAGGAACAGCTACGATACAACTAGGATCCTCAAGCTCCCAGGCCTCTGGTAGACACCCCAAATCGCCACCAAAAATTGTAGTGACCCCTTTTCTCTGTCTTCAGGTAATTCTGATAATTCTGATGAAAGTCTCCAGTGTTCTCAGCCTCACATGTCATCAAGCAGAGTATCAGATAGGAAATGAATGCTGTCCGAAGTGCCTTGCAGGTAAGAACCAACTGAATGACGAATGCATGTGTTTTCTAAGCACGCAACTTAGACACAATAAAAAAAAAGCAAGCTTGAAATGAATTTGTTGCTTTTGATTTCATCAGGGAGTCGAGTGAAAATGCACTGTAATGAGTATAGAAGTACGTCATGTCTGCCATGCATGGATGGAACCTTCACTGATCAACCTAATGGCCTGGAGCGATGTATTCCCTGTACAAACTGTGACTCAGGTAGATTAATTTCACTGGGCTTAACTATGTTTTATGTTATAGTAGTTTAAAATCAAATTAAAACATTAAGGGAGGTCTTTCTCCACGATTTCTTTAATTTAAGATGATCATGTTTTCACATTTCGTAAAGACGACATAATGACCAAATATATTTTCAGCAAAAAAACAATAAACTCTGAGCTCCAGTGTCTCTTCACAAACACATGAAACATGTTGAGTATGTTCTTTTTATGTTGGTAGCTCTTGGTCTGAGGGTAAACAAGCAGTGTACAACAACATCAGATACAGTCTGTGAACCACTGGAGGGATTCCACTGTGTTTCTTTTGTAAGACTCAGCTGTGACATAGCGCAGAAACACAAACGCTGTAAACCAGGACAGTACATCAGTCAGAAAGGTAGGTTTGTGTTTTATAGAATATTGTTATTATCATTGTAACGCAGAATTTGTACAGCAAAATTAAGTCTAAAGTCAACAGTGCAAACATCAGTCGCCATATAAAAACATCACCACTGGGGTAAGTGCTATTGGGCAGTAGTGACTGAGTCTGGTACAGACTGGTTTCTCAGACAGAGGATATAGAGACTGGTTGAAAATCCCAGCTGGTCTGTGCAGTCCTTCAGCACAGGTCCAGGACCACCATTGGGTCCTGCAGATTTTCTCCCATTTATTTATAACTTAACTGTTGTTACGGTCCAGATGACCCTCGATCCTTCTCCTGTAGCCCACCTTAGATGAGACCTTTTTTCAGGTTGACTTGGACCATGCTGAGGAGACCTGTATTATCAGACCTGAAGATGGTGTCCTTTCTTTCAGGAGGTGCAGGATCTCCCTGCACCTCAAAGGCTTCTGATTTCTTTATTTAACATAAGACAGCGTCAGTGAAAGTTCCCATGTCTGACAGTATCCCAGTTAGTTCTGTTGAAGCAGTCATCCAGCTGTTGAGAGGCTCCATCAGACCAGCTTTTAATGGTTCTGCTGGAGATGAGAGCTGTTCTCCTCAGACGGTGTAAACAGGGATGTGTGGTCAGACAGGCCCAGGCGGTCTAGCCGTATAACCTAGCTTGATGTTCGAGTAGCTCTAGTCCATTGTGTTTGCTGCTGTGGTTGTTAATGACAGTCTTCCTCCCCTGCTCTTACCAGAGTCACTGGTTCATGTCACTGTGTGGCAATGGGGAGATATAGAGTTTAAGTTCAACTTTTCAAGTTTTACTTCTGTATGGTTCCCTATAATTTGTAGATTCTTAAAAAATAAAATTAAAAAAATCTTTGCAGATTAGATGAAGATATTTTATATAATTTTATGACATGAAGATGTCAAACTGTACCAGTTTTTTTTTAAATTTAGTACACTGAGCAGCTCAGAGGCCTGTTGGACGAGGACCTGTGGTACAACAGAGAGATGTTTGGACTCAGTGTGAGAGATATCACAGAGAGTGAAGTTCAGATAAACATGAAAATACCAGCAAGTCCAGATGTTCTTGATTGAGTCTTTGTGTTGCTGTTAGTTTGCACAGCAAAGCTTCTTGGTGTGTTTGAGGACAGAATTCCACACTGATCCACACATGTCGTTGTTGTCATCAGGAACCGCCTCCACAGACACTGAGTGCTCTGACTGCAGCAGTGGAACATTTTCAAATGGAACATTTCACTCCTGTCAGCCACACACACAGTAAGTGAAGCTTCAGAGACACATGTGCAACATCTGTACATGTCCCCTAACAGTGTCTCTCTGTCCTTCCAGATGTCACCTATTCAACCTTCAGCTGGTAACAGCAGGCACATCTGCAGCTGACGCTCAGTGTGGAGAACACAGTTTTAATGTGGGAGCAGCTGTTGGTGGAGCTGTGTGTGTTTTAATTGTAATTACTGGAGGAGGGGGATTATTATTATGGCACTTAAAAAAGAGGGCTCCGTCTAACAGGTGAGGATGACAGAACAATGGAAATGTTTAATTTACTGCATCATCATGTTTTCTGACACTGATATAATTTTCACTGCTTTGGTTACAGACCACCAATCAAAGAACAAGGTATGTTTGTGTCTCTTTCTCCATGTTCACTGCATCACATTGATTTATATAATAAGGTTTTTTTTGTTTTTAAATTTCATTAAAAAAGGCACAGATGGGGAGCGTTTAGCGATGGCATCATCAGAAGGTAGGACAGTGAGCTGTTCACTGACTGAGCTGCACTGATGTCTCTACAGATGTACCAGAGTGTGTTTATTAAACAGAAGCCTTTTCATGTGTCTCCCACAAATGTGCAGGTGATAAAAGAGCAAATGCAGACCATAATGAAGGAATCCCTCTGTGAGCCATCTACTTCTTTCTGTGCTGTTTCATGTGTTGTGGAGAAAAAAGTGATCCAGCTACCTCATAAAACACTGTAGCAGACTTGCATCACATCCTCCCTCCACCACCAGTCCACCAATACTATGATGATCTTTTGTGGGGCCATCTTAAAAGATATAAAACACATAAACAATTACAAGAACTTATGTACTGGTCTGAAATGAGTCTGAATGTGTACAACGCAGTTGTACAAACTGTAGAGATTACCTGGAAAGCTCCAACAAACTTTGTTCAGCAGGCCTGCAGAAGTCCTAGGAGAAAACCTCATGGGACCCCTTACCTACAGTGTCGGTGGAAACCTGTATTTAATAGTCTTAACAGGCTGGAGGGGACTGTTATCGCTTTATAAAGTGTCAGCAGAAACCAAAGCTCACATCCTAACCAGAGAAATACTCCCCTGCTGGGTTATACCAGCTTACATCCTCTTAGACCGGGACCAACTGTTCATATCCTCGGAGTCTAAAGAATCCTGCAGACTGTGGAATCTTCAGCTGAATCCTCCATGTCATCCTGAAACCAAACTGACTGAAAGGTAAGTAAATATGTGATTTCCACGTGTGTGATGTGAGCAGGAGGTGAAGCTGCTGTTGTACAAGATATGAAGTTTAGATGTTGTTGTTCCACTCTGTGTGTTTCTGTATTGTTGATATTTAATGTTTTACTTTCTAAAGTCAGACAGCAAATAAAATGACAGTTACAGTTCAGTATGCAGTGATTTCACACACAGGATGAGTGTTTGTGTTGTGAGTCAGTAACAGTCTAAAAACAGTGTTCAGCTGCTCTGATGGAAGATGGCTATAAAATGGACTTTCATTATATACGGGACACACATGGACAAGATGAAGTCCATCAGTATTGTGTGGTTGTGTTTATGCAGCTCACATCAAATTATTACTAAATGTTTCCTTCTTATTGTTCCAGTGTTGTTCCTCTGGGGTCAGATCTTCATGAAGCAGTCAGGTTCTTTGTGAGTCTATTCTGTGCAGCAGCAGAGAGAGAGAGCAGCAGACAGGAGAGACGATACTGGAGCTGTTATCATCAGTGTGCACATACAAACGTTCCCTGTTTATGAGATATACATGGGATATTATTATAGGAAATATCAGTGACTTCCTGCTGGATCTGTACTCTGATGTGAAGAACTGTGAAACTAGAACAGGCTTGAGTGTCCTTCCATCATTACAGTCAGTTTTACAATCAGTTCCTGCAGTCTGGTTCATAAAGCTCTCAGAGAGAAAGACCTCCATCCTCCTGGAAGTGCTGAAACTCCAACCAGAGAAGAAACAAGTGGAGCTGAAACTTTGCATGATATATGGAAGAAAAACACAAAACTGGATCTGCTGATAGCTTCATCATTCCCTGCAGTTCAGATCCTGCACTTCTTACAGTGACACCTTTACCTAAAAACACTCAATAATAACAAAATGTTTTTTATGCTTCTTATTAAAACCTGACTTGATTACAAAGACTTGATCAGGTCTGAACCTTTCCCCTTAACCAGCAGCAGCAGTGCTGTGATTTCTGAGAAATATAAAAACTGTTGCAATTGTAAAACTTTACTACTTTACTTCTGTCAGTCTGTCCCAGGGCAGCTGTGGCTACAACTGTAGCTTGCCTCCACCAGTGTGTGAATGTGTGTGTGTGAATGGGTGGATGACTGGGTGTGTAAAGCGCTTTGGGGTCCCTAGGCGGGACTAGTAAAAGCGCTATACAAATACAGGCCATTTACCATTTACTTAACAACTTTGTGACTTGTAAATGTTTAGGTTTAATAAATAATTGTGTATCTCCTCCTGTATTACTGATCGCTATATACATATACAGTATACATATATACTGCTTGCCTCCTCCCAGACTGAGACGTGACTTCCTGGAAAAAATTGCTGAACTTTTCTCCAAAATGACAACATTTGACTGCATTTAGGTGATTTTAACACGCACACTGACAGTAACAGCTCTGACAACGGACAATTCACCACTTTATTAACATGTTTTAATTTTAAGCAGCATGTGACAGAACCCAGCCAAACAACAGGTCACAGCCTCGATCTGATTGTTTCCAGAGGCCTCAGTGTCCCACTTACAAATGTTTTACACGTCTCGCATCATTATTTCATATTTTCAGAAATGTTCTTCTTCTGTCAAAACAAATACAAACAGATTTATCAGTAAGAGTCATGTCAGTGCCAGCACAGCTAACACATTCACCTGTGAGTGTTCAGGTTTCATTAGCATTATTGTTTTTATATGATGAAATGATCGGCAACCGCTCCAATACAAGTTCTCTAATTATATTGTTCCTATTATTTCCTATTTATTGTTGATATGGCAACATATTAATGTATGTAGAACAACAAAAGCAGCCTGGATGTGATTTATGAATAACTGATTTCTTGTTTTGTTTCTGACAAATGCGCCGTTTTTGCTTTTGTTGCATGAACAAACTGGTTATGTGTTAGGTTAGTGTGAGCTTTGACTTCACTTCCATCCTGCGTGTGCTTTGGATGTATCTGAGCTGACAAAGGTCCAATCTTGCATGTCAGGGCAGAAAGGATTCATTTACATACTTGGGTTTATTGAACAGTCACAGTTTGTGAAAGTGTTTCTCTCCTCAGTGTGGAGCAGACACAGTGGACAGGAATGCATCCAGCTGTGTTTCCTGCATCCTCCAGTCTGGATCGTCCTGCAGTCACAGTGAAGGTGTTCAATCCACAGTCTGCAGCACAGAACTGAATGAAGCACAAGCTTGAAGAAATTCAATGAAGAGTTTATGTTTATAATGCTGTGAGTGTGAATGCTTGTCTGTCTGTGTGAGTTAACCCTGTAACAGACTGCCAACCTGTCCACGTGTTACTCCACAGAGTAACTCTGGTGAACAGAGCAGAGTGGATGGGTTAGTCTGTTTTTCATCTTGTCGTGATCAAAACGATGTACCATTAAACATGAATGTGTTTACTGTCTATACTCTGTACAGTAGAGCAGAGGCCTGGCAAAGACTCCTGGTGATGTCTGAAATATGAAGAAGGGGAGGGACATCAAGCTTTACTTATAACTGTATTTTAAAACTGTTCACAGTTTCCTTGCTGATCAGGACCTCCTCCATGCCCACTCATACTATTCCAGTGTTATTAAGTGATAGTTCAGCTGGTTACTGATGCTTGTTTTGCACTATCTGGATAGTCAAAGGAGCTTGCAAAGAAAGTTTATATCTGGGACTCTCCACCATTTGACCTTAGAACTGAAGAAGCTTCTCGGATGAGAGGTGAAACGTCTTCAAGCAACTTAAAGAAGTCCAGACGCTTTTCTTTGCAAGCTCCTTTGACTACGATGACCTGGATGACTGAGAACCTTCACAGACACTATCTGGATAGATTTTATTTACAATGGCTACACCCACCAAAGGGCATTTTATGTCAATTAACAGAAACCTCGTATATAAAAGTGCTCTGGAACAAGGTGGGAGCTCGGCACAGCGTTCACATCCCCAAAAAAGAGTGTTCAACAATGAACAGTCCCTATTCACCGTTTCAGTTTAACTCCCGGGCCGCCCCACGAATCAACCAATCAACATTCAGCAATCGTTTCCGGTACAACGGGAAGTCTGTGGGGTGAAGGCACGGGGAGCGCATCTCGGTGAGTAAAACTACCCCCTCTGTCCTACCGGAATAGTGCACCTTCAGACAGCACGACATCGCTAATGCTGGGCTTACACTGTGCGATGTTTGGCCCATTTTGAGCCGATTTTTGAGTCGCGCGACCGTTTTGGCGATCGGCCCGATTTTGGCCTTCGTCGTGCATCGTGTAGTATATGTGGGGTAACGAGAAGCGATTAACACCTCACGACCAGCTCCCGATCATCAATCGCTTGGTCGTGAGGATTTCAAACCTTTTTGATTTCAAACAGGATTTCAAAACTGTTTGAAATCCTCGCGACCGTCGTGAGGGTGTCACCGCAGTTTCTCACACTGCGCACGCACAAACAAATGTCAGCGAAAAAGACTGCAGCACGTCAGTGCAGCGTGTGATCTGGACACAAGCGATGGAGGCACCTGTAGAACTTCGGAAAGCTCATCTGAGCCTTTTCAATGTGGCCTCACAAAATTATCACAACCGTGAAAATAGTTGGATAGACATTGCTGCTCAATCACAGCTGCCTGATCAATGTTTTTCATTAGCAAAGTTGATGGTGGCGGTGTGTGTCTGTGTGTGAAAGACCGAGCAAGCAACAGAATTTCTGCTATAACCTTCATTTTATGGACGCACAGTGTGAGCACTCAGGTCGCATCAGAGCATCGAGCCGTATAGTGTGAGGCCCTGTATCGTGACCTACGAACTTGTAACCTCTGCGAGTCAATCGTGCAGTTTGAGCAGAAGCTGAACGTAGACATGCGGAAGTAGCTACGTGTCCTTGTTTTTTGTTAAGATAAGATAACCTTTATTAGTCCCACACGTGGGAAATTTGTTTTGTCACAGCAGGAAGTGGACAGTGCAAGTTATTTAGCAAAAATTAGAATACAATAAGAATAAATACAGTACACAACTGTACAGAATAGAATAAAATGAAATACTATATAGGCTATAGTAGAATAAAATATACAGTAGGATAAAAAATAGAATACAAATTCTATATACAACTGAGTAAAAATACAACGATGCCAGAAAAGAGTATTGCACTTAGTGTTATTGCACATATATGGATATGTGTGTTTGATCAGTTGGAGTCTTTGTTGTACAGTCTGACAGCAGTGGGAAGGAAATAGGGCTGTTCGATATAACGATATATATCGGATGACGATATAAAAAGTCTATCGTTTCATTTTACACTATCATTTGTTTGGTGGTGTCGCAAAATAAATTGTTTACGGCAATATTTTTTCATCGTTTTGATGGTGAGTGTAGTGACTATATTAATTTCTTAAAGTTCTCTCTTTCTCTTATATTTTATATAACCACACTATGGACGGACAAGCGCCTGTTTTTATGCGTTGTGGTTAGCAACAACTACGGTAACAGCATCGCGTGTCCGCTTGTTTATGTTCCACATAAACCTTTCACAATAAAGCTCAAGATCCTGTTGAGACTTTTCAAAATAAACTGAATCACGTGAAAGAGCAGATTATTTACGGATGAGAATTAAAAAAAAGAGCTGCCAGGTGCTAAAAAATAAACCTTAGACTCAAATGTTAGAACAGGCTTTTCCCCGCAGCACGCCGTGTAATAAATACAAAGAATACGGCGGCTGTTACAACTTATGTCATGCATTGGTTAAAACACTCAACTCCAGCTACATGACGCGCAGCTGGAAACACTTCCCGCAAGACGAGCTGCCCAAGATTCACAGAATTTACAGAAAATGTTACATTTTTGTGATTTATATCGTTATAAATTCTTATATCGGGATATGAGATTTTGGTCATATACCTGCGAAATCTTTCCGTCCCACACCATGGGTGCTGCAGCCTGCCACTGAAGGAGCTGCTCAGTGCTTTCAGAGTCTCCTGCATGGGGTGGGAGATGTTGTCCATCAGGGATGATAGCTTAACCACCATTCTCCTGTCACTCACCACCTCCACTGGGTCCAGAGGGCATCCTAGAACATCCCTTCTGATCAGCCTGTTCAGTCTCTTCCTGTTCCCAGCAGAGATGCTGCCACCCCAGCAGACCACACCGTAAAAGATAGCTGAGGCCACCACAGAGTCATAGAAGGTCTTCAGGAGTGGGCCCTCCACTCCAAACGACCTGAGTCTCCATAGTAGTTACAGCCTGCTCTGCCCTTTCCTGTAGAGGGCGTCTGAATTAGGAGTCCAGTCCAGTTTGTTTTTCAGATGAACACCAAGGTACCTGTAGCTGTCCACAGCCTTGATGTCCATCCCTTGGATGTTCAGTGGTAGCAGTTGAGGATGTTTGTGCCTGCGGAAGCCTACCACCAGCTCCTTGGTTTTACTGGTGTTCATCTGGAGGTAGTTCTGCTGGCACCAATCTACAAAGTTTTGGGTCAGTCCTCTGTACTCCTTGTCGTCCCCATCAGTGATGAGGCCGACTATTGCAGAGTCATCAGAGAACTTATTTAAACCACAAAATGGGAGCGTTCAAGTGTTTGTCCTACCTCCTTTTCCTAGCGTCCTTTCCTTCACCTGGATTGAAACGTGATCGGGATTAAGGATGGAGAGGTGATTGGCGGAGATGCTGGAGAAAACGCTGTCCTATTATTCATAGCGACCTTTGCGTACTCTAATGCTCCATTCATAGTTGACATTCTCTCAATGTGAAGTCATCTGATAAGACTGCAGTACAGTCTGGACTTATGTACTGAATAACTTATTTTGTGATGAGCTGATAGATAGCTGTACACAACTATACTGACATACATATGCAATTATCACGGACTGTAACATGCATGTGTGGAACAAACATTATATCCATGTTAGAGTGCTGACTGTGGTTTTATGAATGTCCTCGCTGTAAAAGAGCTTTCAACCTCTGGTTCATGCAAATACATGTCAGTATTTGACATTTCACCTTTCATGTCCAAAGTTACCTTGGATATTGTAAAATTATGATATTATTTTATGCCATGTTAGACCCCGAAATAAAGATTGTGAATTAATATGTAGTTTAAGTTTGCATTATTCTCCTGAATTAGAAGAAGGTGATAATTATTGCAGTATTTAAACTGATTTGCATTGCATTAGACTGCTGATTTATTGTGAATGAATGATATTGTTTATGATGCATTATACTGTTGAGTTATAAGGAATACTTACTGGTGTTGTCCAGAGGGGCCGATGGCATGATATGGCAGCCTCGCTTCTGTCAGTCTGCCCCAGGGCAGCTGTTGTAGCATCCCTGGCTGAATGATGGTCTCTTATACTGATGCTTCACAGAGGTTTTATTGGAAATGTTTTTATTGAAACATTCAGTGAAGACACCGTAAGAGCTAGGAGCAAAACAAAACCAGCAATATTAATACCATAAATCAAAGGAAACAAATTTCTCCTGCTCACATATAGCATATACATCAAATTTACATCACTCAATTCATTATATCACCTCACTAACTTACAACTACACATAAAGGTCAAGGTCAAGGTTAACAACATAAACTCTATTAAACGACATTTTGATTGCATGTAACTTATTCCGTTAAAGGAAACATTAACAAACCTTGTGCCACTGTCAGCCAGGTACTAATTGGCAAAGTAAACGTACATATTTTTCACTTTAAGGCACACTATTTTACCATATCCTAAAAGAAACGTTACTAACAGCCCTTTAACGGTTTTGTGCCAGTTTCCTGTTTCAAAATAAAAGCATGGATTTCAAAATAAAACCGAAGTGCCTTTCAAACAAACGTAAAAATATTTACCAAATTTAAAGGTCATTTACACTCCCACCAAATCATGAGTGTTTTAACAAAAGGGAGAACTATAACACGAATGAATTTTAAAAACAAATGACCTTAACCACAAGGCCTTTTACATAACGAAAACAAAGAATTATCCATGCATGAGCCTGCAGGTAATGTCCACAAGTCTTCATACAATAAAGGGTATAGTCGTTGTCTTAGACAGCCTCTAAAAGCAAGATCAGTTTCTGAATGGGCCGTTCAACAATGGATGGCTTGCCAGAACATTGACCCTCCCTTTTCATTTTCTGGTCTCCAAGACGAATCTTAACTTTCCTCACAAGCCCATCTTTATCAGCGACTGTTTCTTCAACTCTGGCTAATCTCCACTCGTTCCGTGGCAGATCATCCATCCTTTCGATGACTATGTCACCAACTTTCAGATTCCTTCTAGAAATATGCCAACGTTGTCTAGTGGCAATATTAGAGAGATACTCTCTTCTCCAGCGGTTCCAGAATTGCTCTGCTAGATACTGGATATGACGCCATCTCTTACGAGCATACATGTCTTCTCTGATGAACGTCCCGGGAGGTGGTAAGGCTCCAGTGGGTTTCATAGTGAGTAGGTGATTAGGAGTCAGCGGTTCTGGACCATTTGGATCATTCAGGTTATCCACAGTGAGTGGACGGCTGTTCACAATAGACATTGCTTCGTAAAACAATGTCCTCAAACAGGCATCATCTAATCTTCCAGGTGAGAGTGAAAGAGTGGACCGAAGTACATTTCTTACTGTTCTGATCTGTCTCTCCCAGACACCTCCAACATGGCTTGAATGGGGAGCATTCATAATGAAGTCGCACTGCCTCTCAGCCAAGAATGCAGTCAGACGATTGACATCCATCTGTTTCAGCGCATTATACATTTCATTCTTAGCTCCAACAAAATTGCTTCCTTGGTCACATCTTATTTGTCGTACTGCTCCTCTTATGGAAACAAAACATCGGAGGCCATTAATGAAGGCATCTGCTGACATATCATTCACCATTTCAATGTGAATTGCTCTACAACAAAGGCATGTGAAAAGCAGACCATAACGCTTATTCACCTTACGCCCTTGCTTTGTAAAAAATGGCCCAAAACAGTCCATTCCGCAATAAGTGAAAGGTGGAGATGGATCCACCCGCTCAGATGGCAGGTCTGCCATTCGCTGCTCTTCCACTGATCCCCTGAGTTTCCTGCATTTGACACACTGATGCACATAAGATGCAACAGCTCTGTTCATTCCTGGGATCCAGTATCCATTTGATCTGATCTCGTTGATGGTTATACCCCTTCCTTGGTGTTTAACCTGTTCATGATGATGAGCTATTATCATCCTCGTTATGTGGTGGTCCTTTGGAATGATCATTGGATGTTTCTGAGAGGCAGGGAGAGATGCATTTTTCAGTCTTCCTCCCACCTTGAGGATTCCATCTTTGTCAAGAAAGGCATCCAATCGAAACAGTTTACTCTGCCGTGAAAGTTGTAAGCCATTACTAAGTAGCTGGATCTCATCTCGATACACTCGTCTCTGTAAATCTCTTATAATGATGCGCTGTGCACCTCTCGCTCCTGAACTGTGCTGTGACTTGTTGACTTGTCACTCTTGGTTCGGCGAAGAAGTCGCGCAACAGCTTGTTTGACCTTACACCATGAAGAAAACTTTGACAAGCGGTCTGAAAGAGTCACTTGTTCTGCAGACTCCAAATTTAGTGCTTGAACCCTTTTAACTTCAGGGTCCCCAACTGGGATTTCTGGGATTACCTCTACCTCTGGTGATACCTCTTTCTCCCATAAGAACTTGGGTCCAGTAAACCAGTTCGATGTCAGAAGCTTGCTTGCACTAGAACCTCTCGAAGCAAGGTCTGCAGGATTCTTGTCAGTAGAAACATATCGCCACTGCTGAGGAGTTGTACTGAGATGTATTTTCTGAATCCTATTTGATACAAATGTGTGGAAGCGACGTGCCTCGTTGTTAATGTACCCCAGTACAACCTTGGAGTCTGTCCAGAAGTATTCAGTCAATCCCTGAAATTCCCAGTTCTTCCTTTAGAGTATTGCTTGCTGCAACTGATACAACAGCAGCAGTCAGTTCTAACCTGGGGATGGTCACAGCTTTGATTGGAGCAACTCTGGACTTTGCCATAATCAGAGCACAATGAACAGTTCCATTTCCATTCACATGTCTCAAATATGAGCACTGGCCATAACCATACGTGCTTGCATCAGAGAAGTGATGTAGCTCTCTCTTTGTGACCTTTCCAAAGTCAGCTGGTACATAGCATCGGGGTATGGTGATTTTATCCAAATTTGCCAGATCACTCTTCCAGGATCTCCAGACTGGTTGCAGTTTACTGATGAGTGGGTCATCCCAACCTGTACCATGCCTACACATTTCTTGAAGAACCCTTTTCCCAGTTAGCAGGAAAGGAGCAATAAGCCCAAGTGGATCATAAAGAGAGGCAACAGTGGATAGTATACCACGCCTGGTTTCTGGTTGGTCCTTCAAATGGGCATGAAACCTGAAACTGTCTGACTCAATGTGCCAGTGGATTCCTAAGGCTCTTTCCAGCGATGAATCACTAAAGGCAAGATCAAGAGCCTTTACTTCAGTGGCACGCTCAGATGGTGCTATACTCTCAAGCACCTTCGCATTGTTACACACAAATTTGTGTAGTCGCAGACCACCCATAGCACAGAGCCTTTGGGCTTCTTTTGCAAGCTGAATAGCCTCATCTACATCTGCTATGCTTGTGACACCATCATCCACATAGAAGTCCCTCATAATGAATTGGGAGCCCAGAGGAAACAGGCTCTCGTTCTCCTTAGCGAGATGTTTCAACCCATAGTTGGCACATCCCGGTGAAGATGCAGCACCGAAAAGGTGAACTTTCATACGGAATTCCTGTGGCTCCACACTGAAGTTTCCATCCTTCCACCACAGGAAACGTAGGTAGTCTCTATCCGCTTCGCGCACATGAAACTGATGAAACATCCTTTCGATGTCGCACATCAGAGCAACATGGTTCTGTCGAAATCTGATAAGAACACCAGTTAGAGTATTTGTCAAATCTGGGCCCGACAGGAGATGATCATTTAGGCAAGTTCCCTTGTACTTAGCCGAGCAATCAAAAACCACTCTGAGCTTCTCTGGTTTTTTGGAATGATAAACTCCGTGGTGTGGAATATACCATGTTTCACCTTCCTTCTCTTCACAGAGAACTTCTTCAGCATCATTGTTTTTAATTACCTCATTCAAAAACGTTACGTAGTGAGTCTTGTAGTTCTTGTTGTTCAGCAGCTTTCGTTTGAGATGGTTGAGCCGGATGATAGCTAACTGCTTGTTGTTGGGAAGGTAGGGTCTCTCTTTAAAAGGGAGAGGCATCTCATAGTGACCATGGGCGTTCATGTAAATGCTTTCCTTTAGCATATTGAGGAAGAGGATGTCATCTTGAGACACTGTTCTGCTGTCCTTGCTGATGTCCTTAAAGTCAGACTCAAGTACTTTAATGGCATCGGATGGCGTCACTGGAGGAAGCTCTTTGACAGTTACTCTATGGCATATGTTGGCGACAGGAGGAGATTCAAGGTGAGGTGGTGAGCAGCCTATGATGCTCCATCCTAGGTCTGTGCGGACTGCATAAGGTTCATTATCTCTTCCTAGGATGACCTGTCTTGGTGCTAGTGCCTGTGAGCAGTTATAACCTATTAGAAGACCAACTTCACAGTCTAAATGTGGCGGAATATCATCTGCTATTGCTTTGAGATGATTCCAATGCCTCGCCGTTTCACTGGTAGGAATGTGCCTTCGATTCACTGGTATGCAGTCTTTGGTATAGGCAGGAGGGAGATCAATGTGATTTGTGGAGGTATAGCCACGCACTCTGAGACCCGAGCTTTCACCCCACCTAATGATTCGGAAGGACACAGTAAACATACAGTGAAGAGAGTCTCCGGCTCAGAGTGCGTGGCTATATACCTTCCACAAATCATTGATTTCCCTCTGCTCGAGTAATCAGGAGACATAACTTGATTCTACTCGAGTGTGTACTATGGTGTCCTGTTAACCGATCAGTAAGGGTCGGTTAGCTCATTATAGCTACTAGGAGTATGAGACATTGGTGTGGAGGAGGCGGTGAGCGAGTGAGCAGTGGGTTCATCAATAAACAGCGAGCGTCCCAGAATGGCTGGAATGCATGAGCAGAGAAACAATCAAAGATCCAATGCAAATTTTATTTTCATTAATTTTTTTAGCTAATGATTTTTTGTAATTTTTTTTATTTTTTTCCGTTTTCTACTATTTATGTTTTACTGTTGATATTTTTTTGTTTTGTTTTTTCTTCTCTCTTTTTATATTATATTTTTATATAAATCTTGCTCTCACTATTGTTTTGGTTTTTATTTTTTAGCTTTTTTCTCTTCATTTTGATTTTTGTTTATTTCTTTTCTATTGTCTATATGTAGCACTAGAGGTATGTTGGAGAGGAAACCCCCTAAGACTGGCAAAAGATTCCATGGATCGATAGGACGTGAGAGTGTCGTGCTCAGTCTCTGTGAGGATTGGGAGAAACAGCAATGTCCGTAAGAGAGCGTTCCGTCTGTATTATGATCTATGCACGGCCTACCCAGAATTCAATGTTGCGAAACCCATCTTTGTAGATTATATGAACAGGCAGCTTTGGGTCGCCGTAAGTACAACCTTAATATCGCAATATGAACTATAAAGTGCTCTTGTGCGAGTCACTTGACAATTCTATTCTTGGCCTCGCGACCTAGGATCATAGGCTGCTCACCACCTCACCATAGCAAGTTTGTTTTCCCTTACATACTTTCTTTTCTCTAACTGTCAAAGAGCTTCCTCCAGTGACGCCATCCGATGCCATTAAAGTACTTGAGTCTGACTTTAAGGACATCAGCAAGGACAACAGAACAGTGTCTCAAGATGACATCCTCTTCCTCAATATGCTAAAGGAAAGCATTTACATGAACGCCCATGGTCACTATGAGATGCCTCTCCTTTTAATAGAGAGATACCTTAACAAGAGTGATATGAATTAGATGTGCATCCGGCTCAACCATCTCAAACAGCTGCTATCTAGTACTGTCCTGTAGTATGGAGAACATGTCAGCATCTCTATTACAATTCATAATCGCTTCATTTAGTTCAGATGAATTGTTTCCTCTCTGACAGTAAGTCTGACTCAACCGTAATGCCCATCTGGAGGACGCACAGTTCTTACCTGATTACAGGTAAATACTCCGTCGCGTCTTCATCAAATGACATAGAAGTATAGGCATAAGAGTAACTGAAAAGGTTTCTTCTGAGCGCTACAGAATTATCCTGATCCTGTGCTCATAAATCTCTGGTGTCACCGTTAGAGTTCGAGGTTCCGATCCATAATGTAAGCTTGCCACCACAATCAGTAACACTTTCATGGTACCAGATCTGCCTTTGGTGTCATAAGCTAATGTCAATCCATGCTTGGCCTATGTACAAGAGAAATGACGAGGCACCAGTGATAATATAGCCAGGCATGGCTTTGCTGTGAATAAGCAACATTGTTAGCGAAAGGATCCGAGCCCCAATGCTCTGAGTAGTTTCTCGTCACATCTTTTTGAGTGTACTTCTTGGCCAAGACTAGAACTAGATCTTTTCTCACGTAGAAAGAGCTCAGTCTTGGAGCGAATGGTTGACCGTATCTGTCTATTTAGAGATCCCTATTGGCGATCCCTTATACGGCATTTCATCGATCATCCCTTGTAAGGAAGACTTACATCTAAGTGTCTTTTGAGACCTCATGCAATCACTATTTCTTCTCATATGGTAATCGGGCAAGTTCTGAGATTCTAAGCTGAACATATGACTCTATACCTGTGTGTTCTTATCAGAATAATGAGTGTGTCGAGTAATGCACTAGAAAGCATTGTTGCCTCACTGGTCAGATGAGACCTGAGACCTCATGGGATATCGCCGAGGTGAATTACATGGTGGTCTGCGCATAGTGAGTGATTAGTCTGTAATCTTGTTGCGTTATGCTGGTATCTTTGAGTACTCGAGTAAGATGACTACCTACGGTTCTTAAGTGGCGATCACATGCTGTCTGTTGGGAGTGGGATAGGAAAATGGGACATCGTGTGACCAGTGAATCTGGTTAATAGTCGTATGCTGTGTATTCACTTTCTGTTGAGCCCGGCATGAGAGCCACAGCTGCTTTGCACTGTGGGATTGCATGTATGATATTCGCTGGTTTTGCATCATTCAGTGTTGTTCCTAGTGGTAGACAGGAAGACAATGTATACGCTTTCTTGGGGCCTCCTCATTCTCTATCTGCGAGTTACCATTTAGTGGATTCGTAAGGTGGTTTCGACAAATACATAAGACATATGATAGAGTAACCTTGACTCGTGGCTGTCTCATTTCCTCAAGATCCTTTTAGCTCCATTGCTAGATATCAGTATCTAGAGTTCCCATTCCGAAATGTTGGTACGCTTTCGATAGCATTAACCTGCTTGTGTGCTGTTGCCTCTAGCTCAGGACGCCCTGAACTCACTTATATTTTCTTTTTTGTTTTTGCCTTCTGCACAATTGCAGATCAATTAAGGTGTGTGGCTGTGCGTTAAGATGCGTGCTTAATTCTGCTTGGGCACGCAACTTCGGATGCTTCGGTGTTTGTCTACTGCCGTACGAGAGAAGTGAGTATATAGAGTGTCTGCTTTGAATGTCTTACTGTCCCGGTATTTTGAGTGATTTGCAATCGACACTGTGGTGAGCTTCTTACGATAATCTCTGGTCACTGGTTCAGGAAGATTGTATCAAAGTGTTAGTCTGCCTCTGGTTATAGGGGAGCAGTCACGAAAGGGCCAGGTCTCTCTTCGGGATCTGCTATCACTATCATATGCCTCTTCGTCTACTTGTCGGCTTGTAAGTGATTCTTTCATATCTCCGCTTTAATATGGATTTGTGAGATTATATGTTTCTCCTTTGGTCTACGAGCCTCTGGCAAAAGCGTTATT